CCAGTGATGGTGAACCTATGACACGCGTGTCAGAGGTGACACGCGAACTCATTTTTTTGGTTGATTTTTCTTTGTTAAATGGCATTTAAATATATAAAATAAATATCAAAAATATAAATCTTTGTTTTACTATGGTTGCAAATATCAAAAAATTTCTATATGTGACACGGCACCAGAGTTAAGTTAGGGTGTTTCAAAATGCTTATACGCCGAGCTCAAAAGGTTCGCCATCACTGGGCTAGTGCAATGGTTCTCAACCTTGGCTGCACATTAGAATCACCTGGGAATCTTTTTAAAATCCTGATTTCTGAGCCTCATCCTCCGGAAATTCTGTTTCTTTGTTCCTAATGTTGTGGCCCCACCCAATAAAAAAGAAACAGAATTTCCGGAGGATGAGGCCCAGAAATCAGGATTTTAAAAAGATTCCCTGGTGACTCTAATATGCAGCCAAGGTTGAGAACCACTGTTTTATTGTGCTGTGCTTTATTGAGCTCAGGTGTTGCTTTTTTTTTTTTTTAACCAATGGAAGGCAAGATCCCCCACCAGCAAAAAGATTAAGACTCACTTGATTGCAACATTTTATTACAGCGGTCTGGAATCAGACCCGTCATATATCTGAGGTATGCCTGTAATGCTACTATCAAAATTATTTTGTATTGTCTTAGGGAATAATGCAGCTTTTAAGAAAATGAATGGAATAGTATTTTTAATTAGGAATACTATTTTTAATAGTAGTTTTAATTAGGAATGAACAGATGTACATATGTACTGTGCTATATTTTTTCTTATTTTAATCTCATAAGCCTTTTGCATGTTATTATAGTACATGCTCTTCACAAGCACTATTGCCAAGGGAATAGTCCATCAAATGCATCTAACGAAGTTTACCTAACCATTCCTCTTCTGTTTAATGTGTAAGTGGCTTCCTGTAATCTTTGCTTAAATGTTATGGACATTGTTAGGTTGCTAATACTTAGTTCCAAACTACTTTCCTAAAAGCATGCACCTGGTCAATGTACTCTCTGAGGGCTTTTCTCTGAATAGCCCGCTCTGTGCTACAAATGAAAACTAACATCCCAGAGGCTGTCCCCTTATTCAACTCTACAGCCCTTCAATGGCCCTAATGGAGCTCTAGGAAGGAACATGAAATGTCTACTACATGCCAGGCTCTGTACCTTTCATTCATTCATTCATTCGTTCACTCACTCACTCACTCACAAGTTATGTTGAGGGTCTACTAAGGGTCAGGTACTGCTTACACAGTAGTAAGCTACTAAGTAACCTCAGGAATGCTCGGCCTGTGTCAGAGTGGTCTTCAAGGTGTGCACAGTGGACAAGATGAGCACGCAACTAACTGAACAAGTAAATTCAGTGTAATAACTGCCAGTAAGAAGTGGAGGATGCTATTTTTGAAGTGTTTTTCTATATCTTTCATAATCTTCTGACGTTGAGTGTGTTTTATAGTAATTCGGACGAAATTTGCACAGATAAAACCAAGAGATGAAATAACACAAAAATAACCGATTAAAAAGAGAAACCTCGCCCCCTGAAACTAGTTCTGCCCTCCTCGGCGCCTCCCTGCACTGCAGCCTCCACCCTACACTTTGCTCCGCGCTGACCTCGGAGGGTTCCCTCTCCCGGATCCCAGCACAGGCTTCTTTGCTCGCGAGAGTTTCCCCGTCTTCTCGCGGGATCCCAGGCTGCCGCAGGGGAAGGAGGCGGAGGAGAGTGGGGCTTCCCGCTCAATCACACTCCCCAGGCCCTGCCCCACTCCGAGCTCCCCGCCCAGCCGACTTGGTTGCACGTGTATTTGTTGTGATTCGCCCTCACGTGACTGCGGAAGTACGGGCCCCTCAGGCCCCGCCCTCAAGATGGCGGCGCCCAGTGCTCGGGGTCGCGACGTGCTTCGGCTCGACAGCGGGTTATAGCGTGGGCGGCGTTTCCGGGCCATGGACCGGCCCGGCTTCACGGCCTCGCTGGTGGTGAGGGAGGGCGGGAGAGGGGTGCTC